GCCAACAGTGACCCAGTATGTCAATATGGCAGAGAAAAAAACAAACTTAGAATTTCTGAGTCTCTATCTGTTGTGCTAATCTAACATATTTAGATTAAACTTGAACTTTCTATTTACGTTTCTCCTAATTCTCACAATTTAACCCATTCAGTATATTACATGATATATTTAATAGGAAATACAGTCTATTCCCAATTTGACCATGAACAAATATTCATCTCTTCTTATGGAGATATCAAAGGTAATACATATCTTTGGTTCATTAGCTATCTCTCACCTCCAAAAAGCTGGAGAAAGCTTTATGCTTTATGTTTTGTTCTTGCTCACACTATTTCCCAATTTGAGGAGCACTACTAAACATGGTGGAGTAAAACTTGTGAGAACTGGTGTGAGGAAAATAAGTACCCAGCCTTTCTCTTTCTGAAGAATTTCTTTGGCTTTCAGAGCTATAAAGGACACAATGAAATGCATGCAAYGTAAATAAGCCAATTGCAACATTTTTTGAAAAATATATTATTTTGTATTCATGATGCATTTAAAATCAATATTCTTTGGGGGAGAGGAAGTTGAAAAGSTTAAAAATAAACACAGAGAAATATTCCAGTGGTTCTTTTCCTCTTCATATTTGCAGAGTTCATGCCAACATACTAAATATGCCTGTTATTAGATTTTTGCATTTGTGTTTATTATTTCTGTAAAACGTAATAAATATGGTCAAAAAAAAAAATTACCACTTGAAGGTTTTCAGCTAGTGCATTGAAGAAAGAATGACTAAGAAATTTATTATCTTTAGCAGTGGCATGACACAGCATTTTGTAAAGAGAACAGCAATGACTCTGTTATTTGCTTTTAAATCATTAATTTTAGTTTCTCTAAAATATAATTCCTTTCTAATATATTGATCAAACTCTTAGCTAGTGTAAATTTCCACAGATTATTTACCTTACTGGGGTTATGTTGAGCATTTGAAAATTATTAGTGCACATAGCCAACTGTCAGAAGTAATGAAAAAGAATGGTTGCCTTTCTAGTAAAGGAAAATAATTTTAGTATTTCAAGCTGTTTCCATGCAGTCATCACCAGTGTGATGAGTGTGGTAATCACATAACGCAGAGGTGATGGGCAGCAGATGGAGATGTGTTAACAATCTAACTTTTCAGTGCCATGTCTTAGGAATAGGAAACCTGCTTGCACAGCTGTAACCATGTGCCTGTGCGAGTGCATGTGGCCACGACTGTGCACGCAGGGACAGGCAGACACATGTTTGCCTGAGCCTCCAGCTGTCATTCCTTCCCAGACCTTTTGCATCTGTTGCCACTCTCAACCACGCTTGCCAGAGGAAGGTTTGAAAGGTTTGAAAATCTTCATGTTCCTCCTACAGTCATGAAAATGGATGATTGAGGATAGGAGAAAACCCCTTAGAGGAAGGTCTGCTATGTAAACATACCCTTGATTAGAAACATAAGACTTGATCCAGAAAAGAAATGGTCACAATGCCTAAGCACAAGAAAAGCTCCAACCAAGCTTGCTCAGTACAAAATGCTTACAAGATTGAGGCTAGGGACATTCAAATGTTACTTCTTGTTGTTTTAATTCATGTGGTGAATGTAGAGTTATTACCTCTGAGATCCTCAATGATTGTTACGCGCCTGAGTTTGAATAAGCAAAGTAAGTAAGATTGTGTCACATAAAGATTAAAAGTGTATCTAATCCACCTAAACTTATGAAACATTGCTATGACAATTACTGATGAATGAATTACTTATAAATAAGAGCATGATGGATCCGACATGAGAACAGGTACCAGCCCAAGAATACTGGAAATTGTGACAGTCATGCTGGTCAAATAATTCAGTATTGAGTCTTATTCAGATTCAAGTACCATTAAAAAACTCTTCATTTACATTCTACAACATTTTTTTCCCTCTGAAGCTGTWGCTATTAAATGAAGTAAGGCTTTGCAAGCTGTGCTGGAGACTTTGAAGAACCACAGTCTGTTTCAATGTAGCCATTCAAATATGGGAGCTGCCACTCACAGACTAGAATGATGTTCAAGATCATGCTCTCATTCTCAGTTTGTGGTGTTTACAAATAACACAGTGTCTAAGAATCATGTGTTGTACTAGACTTCAATACTTTATGTCAACTTTTAGAATCTGTATTAAATAGGACAGAGAGCTGGATAGCAAACTTGTGACTTCCACAGTACTGGGAAAGTATGGAATTACAGAGATCCCTGTAGGACAAGGTAGGCAGCCCAGGGAAGTGGCTGAGTCACCAGCCCTAGAGTAATTTAAAATACGTGTAGATATTGCACTTGGGGATATGGTTTAGTGGTGGATTTGTCAGTGCTCAATTAATGACATGACTCAATGAACCAAAGRTTTCTTTTTCCAGACTAAAAAAATTAAATTACACAGTGATTCTAAGTCTCAAAAAGTGTAAATCATTGGCATTTATTTCGCTGAATGAAGAGGATGCTTTGTCTGGTTGATCTAGAAACATTGGCATAAAATATTTGTAAAATATTTCTTTAATTAAATATTTTAAAAAATAATGTAGTTTAAGATAGTTCATGCTGGGAAAAACTTGGATCAGTTCCTCACAGAACTGCCTGGCTACTTGTTCCAGCAGCACCCAGCCAGGTATGGGAGTAAGTCTAACGACATGAAGGCMGTGGGACCACTCTATAACAGAAGAGTGCTTTTAAGCCAGGTGAAAGTGCAGTGCAACCGCAGCCTCTGTTWTCTCTCTTTATTTTGTATGGAGAATTTAAGCACTTATAATTTCCACCTATAGACTCACACTAGTAATTCCTTTAAGGACGTCTTATTTTGATGACACAAATTCTCAGTTAGCTGAACTTGATCTATTGATTACCTTACAGAGCTTTAAYACAGCGAGAGTTGTTTCCTCCACCATTCTTTTGAAGCACACTCTCCCATCATTTTCTCTGTTCATACAGTGTCATGTGGCTATTAGCTTCAGACTTATTCAATATATTTTTGAGTGTGGGCTATGTATAAGGTGTGTATTTATATAATTCTGCAAATCTTATGTTTATTTTTCCTATGTCCTCTATTATTCTTGAGCTCCCTGTGTCCTCTAGTGGGTGCCTATCAGAATTTCAAAGACTGGTGAACAAATATTTGTTTCGATTTTTGTATCTCAAAACATTAAAAGGAATAATTAACTTTCCATCCTATAAATTKTGTCCTATATGCATTCTTTTATTTATTTTTTTTTTACTATATTTTATATTAATAGTGGTATTTTTACAGTTCTCCCTGGTAAGCATCCGCAGTATGTGTGGCAATATTGACAATTTTATATTTAATCTTCTTGTACACTCACATTTGTCTGTTATCTAGTTATCTATGTTCTTGCTGGAAATTTTAGCAGCCATTTTCAGTTTTGAATGGTGTTACAGGTCTTGGCAGGTATTGTGAGCATTTTCTTGTGTAAATTCTTCTCTCACTTGGGCATGCCAAATTGTTGCTTAGGACATTAGAAGTTACTTCTGTCCATCCTAAAATATTATTTGTGTACGAAGCACAGTACATATTTAAAGAATTTGGATTTTAGCCTACTGTGAAAAGCTGTTATATGAGCGCATGAGTGACAATCGTTCTCTAATAAAGATATCTTAGGAACAAATGCAAATTTCACATGTAGCTGTATTTGGGGCTTTCTAAATTCTTGAGTATACAGTATTAAACTGGATGAAGTTCATTTAGTGTTAACCACTTCAAGTTGTAAAAACTATAAGTTAGTGCAACTGGGGTCCCATTCAAACCAGAAGAAAAATGGTACTTCGAAGAGGATATCATTCTGTAACWCTTACCTTGGAAAAAGGATGAATTGCTACTCTACTGGAGTACCTTACCCTTCAGATGCACTAGAACACTTGTCCAGCTTTACATGGCTGCACTTACCCTTAATATCCTTTTAAAATGGGGAATAATTCATTATTTTAAGTGTAACAAACCAGTAAGACATGAATAGGTATTTATTAGATTTGGATGCAATTTACTGTGCTAGAATACTGAAGAACCCTCCTATGTGGACTGAATAGAAGTATTTTTATATTTGCAGAAGCTACTTCACACTGGCTGAAGTATTCTATACTTCCTAAAATGTAGCTTTTGGAGGGAAGGAGGGACCGCCCTGTATCTGAAGTTCTCTAAATAAAAAATTCAGCCAGTGGCAGGCACTTGAAATGGAATTACTTTCATTCTAAATAAAAAGAATATATCAAATATATATAAGTATCAGAAAATTGATTTCTTAAAGGGAAGTTTTAGGGAAAAAATAAACAATGCTAAACATGTATGCTTGTAATACCACATCTTCCTCAATTCTCAAGATGTTTCAGGTCACCTCATTGATCAGAGAATGAAGGATGTTTTAAGGTTTCAAGCTCACTCCACTCTAAACCACTAAATCCATTTGATTGAATTAATGGTAAAGAGACATTGAGTGAGAACAAAAGATGTTAGCTACAATACTCCTTGGAAAAGAGATGAGGAGTCCAATATTTATAAGACTCGGTGAAATTTCTTGAGATTAAATTACACAATAGATASGGAAAAAATAGAGAAGGTCTGGAAGGAAAAGTAAAGTAGAAACATTTAGTAATTTTTTTCTTGACCAAATCTGACAAAGAGCTCCTTCTGTTTCAAAGTGTAGTGTATATAGTACTATTCATATCACTTTGAACAACTTGATCCAGAAACTTGGGAAACTAAAATTCAGCTTATCAGGAAGATTTGTTAACCAGATAGTAAACAGTATAGTACTTCAAACTTTAATACACAAAATTTTGTAGCATATTACCATAACCATAGTCAAGAACAAAACTCAAACATATTAAAGCCCAAATGTTAACATCATCATGATTACAATAAGTAGAACCTGATTGAAATTTCAGTGGAAGTAATTTTGTGGACTGTCAAAGGTAGGATCAGAGAATTATTGTGCTGCAGCAGTACTCAGAAGAGTTCATGACTCATTTGACCAAATATTATTCTTCCTGACTTTTGGAAATAGCTGATGAGTAAGTGTAATCAAAAAAATCTGAGAAAGGAAAAAGCTGGATTAAAAACAACAAAGAAATTKTACAAACTCATGACTGAGCCAATCTGACTGCTGAGCTCCTATGAATGACAATGCAGAGGATATAAAGGAGAATGATCAGGACGTGGTTGAAGATGCAAGCTGAATTTTCTGCATTAGTACAGATTTACTGTGTGACTGCTAACAAGTCATTTGGGTCCACATTCACAGATATATCTTGAAATCTATTTCAAGTGACACAGTTAAATATTAAATGTTTCAATCCCCTATGAGTCCAAATATGGTTGGATTCATTGAGCTTAAAGGTCTTTATTAAACTAAATGATTCCATGAATCTTGGTCTTAGCACTTGAATGGGGACAACAGTTCTTCGGCATCTGACAACAATGTGTCAGTGATAGAACACTGAGGATCATGAGACAGTCATGTTCTGTGCTAGTGAGGATTAGGCGAGTATGAAAAAGAAACTTTTTCATTATTGAACTGGCTCTCTCCATAGCCAGAATAATTTTACTACTGCATCTATGGGAAAGTACTACATAGGGAAGAGGCAAAATAGGGCATGCTTTTGATTCTCTCAGTAAAAAATGTACAGATTTCATATTCAACCTCACAATTTTAGTTAATACTAAAAACCCTTCTGCTTGCTTTCTACTTACCTGCACGGTATTCATGAACAATCAATTATTTTCACCATTATTTGTGTGATTTTGATTTGATATTGAAAGTTCTATTCCTTTTTGCCAAATACAATTTTCTCATAGGTATGTAGGAGGAGAGATTTCATTATTTTGTCTTTTTGATTTAGTACAATCATGGAGTAGATTCTGTACAAATAGAGGACAAAGGAGGTCTTTTGGTCCAGAAATTTTATATGATCCTTAAGCACTTCCTGATCTTGAAATGTTGTTTACTTTCAGAAGTCTGGTCAATCTCTTCATTCTACAGACTTTGGACAATGTAATCTCTGATGGTGTTTGAATATATGGGAGATGGTGGGTAAACAGTGCTTGTTCTCACTTCTAATTAAAACTGGTGGAAATCTTCGAAATTTTTGGAGAACATGCCGAAGCCAAAAGATTGATTTTTAGTCCCAGTAAAAATATTGCCATTTTTTTTTTTTTTTTTTTTTTTTTTTTTTTTTTTTTTTTTTTTTTTTTTTTTTTATTAGAAGCAGTCTTACCTGTGTTGTTAGTAGGCTGATAGTAATTACAGTTAAAGAACATTGTTTTCAAACCATGTATTTAAATTTTCTTCACATCCCCAAGCAAGTACATGTGAAGAGATGTCAAGGAAAAACATGTCAACTTTGGAACTTATATTTCATCTTTATAAGAACATGGTTTTAAAATATCTAGAATAGAACTTTCTGCATGGTATGATAGATTCTGGTTCTTACTTGCCAGAAAGCAAATACGGCAGTAATGCCTACCATGGAATGCTAGCTACAGCATTTTTTTATATTATATTTTTTAAATATGAACTAAACAAAGTGTTCTTTGGGGAACCTGATATTTTTGTATTGAAATGTTCCAGAACTTCTGACTTAATCAAAAGGTAATATGTTTTTGTGTGTGATTAACTGAGAGATTAACTTACAAGTAAAAGCTCCAAAGTATATTTTCAAGTTATCATTGATTTTTATGAATTATGCATCCTGAAATGGATGCGCAGATTTTACAGGTTATAATCTATGCTTATTAGATTGCTTTTTAAAATATTTGTCAAATTATTATGTATATTAAAATAGGTAGAAATACAATCAAATGTATACATAAATGTCTTCTATACTTTGAAGTGATTTTTTTAATAACGACAAGGGTTTGTAGAAACTGAGAAATTCCAAACTGATGACCAAAGGAAGACAATAGCAGATGTCACTGGACAACTTCCCATTATTTACTGTTCTGCATTGCCAAGAAAAAAACTCGTCCCACTGTATTTTTGTCCGCATTGGGTGGTTCTAGTAACACCACAGGGATTATAGAAAAGGATCATTATGTATCACTTTGCTCCAGCTCAGCRGTGATATCAGATGGTCCTATGCAAACTGGTCTCTTTATACTAAGATACACAAATACTAACATGAACTGATCTCACAAAACACATCGTATTTCAGTGTCTTGCTCATTCCACTTATCCTGTAAAGTATTGGAGATGCTCTGGAAACAGATAATGCAAACAGGTGGAGACATTGCTCACAATTGCAAGTGGAAAATGTACTGGATACTTTTATGTACTGCCAATTTCCATTGTATCGATGTCATTGATTTGTGCAGCATGGGTTTATGCCATTTAAGATGTTTCTTAAACCACTTCTAAATTTCTCTGTGATATTGATCAGGCACAGCTCCTGTTTTATTGAAGCATCCTTAATTTAGAACTGCCCACACAACTGACAGCTAACAAGTAAAAACCAAGGCTTTAGGGTGACCAGAGACAAAACAATGAGTATTTGGCGTTTGTAAGCCACATCTTGAAGGCAAATACACTTTATATATATTTTTCTAAAGTCTATTTAGTAGAAAAAGTTATGTTCTTAAAAAAATATATTTCTTACTATATATACTATATGTTAAATCCCTTGGGACATCACAAAACCATTTCTTCAGATTGCATTTTGTTCATGAACATGAGAAATGAGTGCTATTATTCTTGGATTTGTTCCTTTCCCACTATGTGCCATTGTGTCTTCCACAGCATTCCATCTACAATAGATATCAAAATCATGTAACTCCAACACCATAAAGACTGTCACACACAGGAATTTTCACCCAAATGAGTGCTAGCTATTAGTTAGTTGATTAAATTAGTTGGATATTTTTCCTCTGTTCTCAGTGCAAAAATGTTTCTGCAGGAGATGATTCACTCTTGTATATGTATCATTTCCCATCATATGCACTGGATAGCACAAACAAGGACAACATGAACTTTTAATATACTTTTGAAAGGAACTACATCCACCTCTGAATCCCTGGTACAGGAAGGATATTGACCTGGTAGAGTGAGTCCAGAGGAGGCCACAAATATGGTCGGAGGGACTGGGAACCTCTCCTATGAAGAAAGGCTGAGAGAATTTTGATTGTTCAGTCTGGAGAAGAGAAAGCTTCAGGGTGACCTAACTGTGGCCACTTGACCTGAAGGGAGCCTACAAGAAAAGAGAGATTTCACAAGAGCATGTAGCGAAAGGACGTGGGGGAATGGCTTCTAACTGAAGGTGAGTAGGTTTAGATTAGATTAGAAAAAAGTCCTTTCCTTTGAGGCTGTTGAGGCAGTGAAACAGATTACCCAGAGAAGTTCTGGATGCTCCATCCTTGGCAGTGTTCAAGAGCAGGTTGGATGGGGCTCTGAGCAACCTGGTCTAGTGCAAAGTGTCCTGCCTAACGTCAGAGGGGTTGGAACTAGATGATGTTGAAGGTTTTTTCCAAATCGAGCTGTTCTATGGCTCTATGACCTTTCTTTATACTCTAAATCATTCTAGAACACATCTAAATAGAAAAAGAAAATAATTACAAATCCAGGCTAAAGTAAAACATTTTGACTATAAGTAAGCCTTATGATGTATTTTTAGTGTAGAAATTGTGTGTAAGTGGTAAGTTAGACTAAGGCTAAATATTATTGGGGAAAGTACAATGAATGCAGTTTCATAACAAATGCAAAGGGGGGCAAATTTTATGAAATATATAACAAATAAAACCACAGAAACTCTGTTTTACTTGGATAGAAAAACTTCAATAAGAACCACATTTTGAAAAAAAAATATTCCTTTGTTCCTTTTAATATCATACTGGCAAAAATGCTCCCCTCTTAGTGAGAGATCTTTAGCAAGTCTCCCTGTCCTAGGTTAGCTGAGTATTGTATTCCTATCATCTGCTTATGTTAGAGGCAAGTTAAACAACCCTTCTGTAACTATACATGATAGTCGAGACTGCTCTGGTTTGTTTGGTGATGTTCCTCCCTTCAAGGACAATGGGAGGGAAAGGGACAAGACACACACGGGTTTTTTTTTTTCGGTGGGGAGGCTCTCTCTCAGGATCAGCAGTGGAAAAAGAAGCTGCCTGCTCTTCCTGGGACTGCTCCTTTTTCTGCCTTTCTTTGGACTTGTTTTTCCTCGAATTTTTTTTTCCTCTTCGTCATCTGAGAATTGGAGGATTCTCRTGGCACAGCAGGGAGAAAGATCCTTCAGTGAACTATTGGAGAGAGACTCTGTCCAACCCCTCTGGGGGCCCCAGAGGGGAAGCTACTCCCAGGAGGGAAGAGAAAGGCTTTGGGATCTAACAGCTGATTCCACAGGTTTTTTTGGTTTTTTTCTTTGTGTTTTCTATAATTTTTAAATAAATAATTTTTTTCCCCTTTTCTTTTCACTTTCCTCTCTGTGGAAAAGGTTGTCTCTAGGACCCGGGTGGAGAAAAGAGAGGGGGGAGGGGGTTTGCTGGAACTTGGGAGTGTTTTGCTCCCATTGAATTCATTCAAACCACTACACTCCCTATTCCAACACGTTTTAGTTGCAATTGATCTCTCTCTTGAACACATGGCTCAAACTTGGAGGACAAAGCAAACACTACGCCCTGTTCAAATGGATTATTGGCTAGCTCTTCCCAATAACCCACCTTGCTGCCAGTAAAACAAAAGCAAACTAAACTAGCAAACAGCTGGGAAAATAGAATCATTTTTGTGTAAGGAATTCCAGGAGATTTTCAATCTGAWTCAGGATGAATATTCAGAAATATTTTTTTTTGTGGGATGAAAATGATCCATATTTTAATTCAGAGATGCTAAACAGAGCCAGGTCATTTTCATGTTCTGAATCGTCAATTCAAGATAGACCGCTTCTAAATTTTGAAAATTAAAGTACTTGGCAAACACTGTTCTTTTACTGTATAAATATTCTGTTTCAACAACTCCATAGGTTTAGTCAAAATACTCACCAGCTTTAAGCAGTGCATTAAATAACTCCAACAATATAAAAAATATTATTAATGATCTTCTGTCTGTTGTTTTTCTCATGGCAGATGCCAATGATTCCAGCAGCTGGGAAGGTGGTGAGTCTGTGTTCCTACAACAGTTCAATAAAACTGCAGTCAAGTATACCAGCACATAGTCTAGCTGCACCATTGACATAATGGGGTCACCRTTAATCACTTGAGAAATCATGAATGCAATGAATGGATTTTCAAAGAACAGATTTTAAAAATACATTACAAACGTGTTAGTAATTTTGAGACCAGACACATATGCTTTGTGAGTTATCTGGAATCATAAATTATCCTTAACACTTATTAAAATATGCAACTCACCTCTGTAAGAAGTTATATTTAGGGATGCACAGCTGATCTTTAGAAGCACATTAAAATATATTCAGTCATTAAAGTGTAGTGTTTGCAATGAAAGCCTATAATGTAGAATTCATTTGAAAAGTGGATAACAGATTGCTGGTCAAAAACATTGCTAACAACTTCCAAAATAATTGACACTATCCAAATGCTTTAAAGGACTTTTCTAAAAAAGTAAATAAATTACCTACTGACAGACCACAGAAAATGTTTTGATTATTAATTAAATATGTGTATTGAAAGTACTAATTTGCAAACTAATTTTAGACTCTAAGCATTATTTTTGAGAGTCTCAGTGCAAAATATTTTCACATGTTCTCACAGCAGGAGCTCTACTTTGACCTCATAACATCTCTACTTGGTTCTCATCAGCCTTGAGACCTAAGCAGATCAAGTGTATTATGGTATTTAGCACTTTAAAAAATACCAGGATTCACATCATTTTTTTGAGCTGCAGGAAGTTTCTCAGCTTTCAGTGACCAGAACCCTCTGCTCCTACATGAAATGAGAAGTTCTTCAAAAGTTTAATCTCATCAATAGTGACCCATATAAAAGCAAGGAATCTGCCAACCCACATCAGATAATAGCAGCAGATCTTGAAAAATTAATCCTTTACTAAATTAGATTTTTTAATATAAGTTCTAATTGTTATACACATTTCTGTTTGACTCAGTATTTTTAGAGGTAATATCTAGTGAGGTTTCTTCCTTATGTTGTGCTGCATAGCATTCACAATGTTCTACACAGGTTCCTGCTCAGCCACACTCTCATTCCCATATTCAGAAACAAAATCATCAATTCTGCTGTTCCATTGATTGTGGACCTGTTAATAAATATTTATAGCACTTGATATATGCATATTGGTAAGAGTGTGGATAGATAGTGCAATCCTTGATCTTTTATTGATATTGTGGCTTCTTCAAGGATTACTTGCAAGCAGCAGCATTCTAATCAATTTTAGGTCATATTTATGACCTAAGCCACATCACAGCCATTGCAATAGGAAAGTTCAAAGCCAAAGGGAAGCATAAATGAAGTGACCCAAATCATGTACATAGCTCAGGTGATTAGCCCAACTGGAGCCAGAAGAGCCAGGAAACAGTTTAGTTCCACCTGATCTGCCCTGAAATACTGAATTCGACTTCTCATGCTTTTAGCCCCTAGCCCATATGGCTAGGGGAATTAACAGTTCATATTGGCCCTAGATTAGGCATCTTTGGTAAGACTGTTAAAATACAACTTCAGCAGTAATTGAAGTGGAAGCTCATGACAAAGAGATTAGAAAGAGTGCAGCAGGGAACATATGCAGGGAAGAAATCCTAGGCTACTGAAAGGTTTTGTTACAAAGCAATACAAGAATTAGGCTTCTCTAACTCATTTCCCTTGCTATAGCCACCCTAAAGACAAAACTCAAAAGCTTGCACAGTAAATGATGATGTAACCATCATTTATTATACCTCAGCAGCACTTAATTAAGGTTGAGATCAAGTGCAATTACAGTTGATATAAAATAAATATAACTTCACATTTTCAATCAATTTTTCTAGCACAAAGAGCTGACTCCAGAATGCATTATTCCTAACAGTTTAAATCTTTCAATATGAAAACCATGATAGAAAACATGGATGACTACATCATCATAAATCAGCATTTAATGAAGAAATTTGATAATACAGATGCACTTTGAAGGAATAAAATGAATTTATTTGTGCTGTAATCTGCCTGAATTGCTTCAGTATTTGGAGAACGGTATAAACCTTATGAGAGCACTGTCATTGGAGATATTCTTAATCCATAGATTTTGAAATTATGAAATAGAGAGGTGGCCAGGCTGGTATTGATTCAGAAGAGATTACCTTCCACACAGCACTGTGAGAACTGCTCAAGAGATTGCAGTTGTTATGTGTAGAAAAGTAAATGACTGAATATATAAAGATTCAAAGTGGAACAAGTACTAGACAACAGCTATGTTGGTATTTATTGCTTGCTGCTGTTCAAATTGAAGATACATGTTCCTTAGCTTAGATCTCTGCTTGTACCTAAAATACAGGTTCAAACAATAAAGTCAGTAATTCCTTGGTATACTTTGCCTGCCACGATACCAATAACTCCTACTGTCAATTGCACAGGGGACTGCTGCTGTCACCTGCTAATACACAGCTAAGTATCTAATGCTTCCTCCCACCCCTGCTGATATGCAGGAAAGGGGAACTTCCTGAGTAATCCCTCAATGAGGAATAAAGCTGTCCCTTCCACTGCTGATTCCTGAATAGGAAGTGTACTGTTTATGCAGGGAAGGAATTGGAAATATATTTCTATGCACTCCCATTTACTTCGTTGAAAAAATAAATTTTCASCCACAGTATCAAGATACTGTGATACTAGATGATTCCATGGAAGCTGGCAATGAGAAACTTCTTTTTATTTCATCASCTAACAAATTGTGAGGCAAACACTATATGCCTAGGCAGCAGAAGGAAGCAAGAAGGAACAAGATTCCTGGTTATAGCACCTGAGCTCCATTCTTTGCTGTAAAAATTTATATATGTAGTGTTTAACAAATAAATCATTAGCACAGTTCTCTGCTTCATCCTTCATAAAGTCTAAAACAGATATCTCAAAAAGAGTGATAATAAACAAAAGATGGAGAAAAAAAAATCAAAGTGATCATAAGAGTGGATAGTTGAAGTGCAGTTTTTCAGAAATTAAGGCGATTTTCCCTTGAAAAGCTGGAATTTCATACTAATCCAGAGTCTTCAGTTTTGTGTCATTAGATAACAGCTTTTTAATCGTACTTTGATATTTCGATATTGCAGCCATACTGCAGCTAGCTACCTGTGCCTTCAAGCCGCAATATTCTGGAGCAGGCTTTGCTTTATTTCTTCAGCACAATCTAAGTATTTTAAAACATCTATGCTAATAAATACAGTGGTTAAAATCTTTGCTGCATAAAACTGCAAGTATTTTGTCATTTCATACAGTGATATGGAAAGAATCTTCAATTGTGTTGAGATTTCATTTGAGCCAGGACTTTATCTAAATATGTCTTTCTATCAGCAATTTTGTATGTGGAAATCACATCATGACAGGATCACATACTTCATGCATGCAAAATTCCCTTTCATTTTACTAGAATTTTGCAGGCTGGTTTCCACTAGTAGCTAGTAACTAGTAGACATTTGATTTCCACAACAATTCCAAGGAAACCCATGGCTGATGTAAAAGTAATAACAGATCCAATGCCAAGTATACAAGAAAGATACGCAGGTCAAATGCAGTCTGCTGAATTATACAAAGAAAAGATGAATAAAGCTGATTTATTTTTCAGCGATTCACGTATAAGCTGCATACCAAGAGAAAGAAATAAATCAATTGCATAAATTATAATAATATATAAATTGTAGATATAGTAACCTTACAACCACGTAGTTAAATCAAATACTGCCCCCTTGTGACAAAGAAAAATCTATTACTGCTTCAGTCGATTACATAGAACCATACAAACATAAAATCATTTGGGTTGGAAGGGACATTAGAGATCATCTACTTCCAACATCCCTGCCATGGGCACGGTCACCTGTCACTAGACCAGGCTGCTCAAATTAAATTTCGTTTCACTTTATTCCTTGATTTCTTATTTCATTTTCTTTCACAAAATGAAGAATTTTCACTATTTCAAAGGAAGTAATTTCATGAGTTTTCCTTTACTTTCCTATCTTCCATTTCACTTAATTTCTTGACTTACTATTTCATTTTCTTTCATCAAATGAAATCTCATGATTTAAATGAAAATAATCTCATGAAATTTCATCTCATTTTGATGCACTTCCTGTCCCTCCATGCCATTCAATTATTTTCACTTAATTTCTGAATTTTGAGTATTTGCAATTTCATTTCATTATATTTCCTTTCCTGTCTTTTCATTTCATGAAAATTCTTCGTTTCGTGAAAGCAAATTAAATCCTGCAATTTATGTGAAATGTCTCTTTTATTGGCAAATTTTTTGCTAAACACAGAACATGGTCTTTATTCACCACAAGCATAATGCAASTCTTTTACAAAACAAGTGTCAACTGCACATTCAATCAGTGAATAAACACTCAACTAGAAAATTCACCCATGATTTAATTCTGTAAAATGGTGGATTTCAAATGGATGAGTTTCCATTGTTTTAATATTTAAATACCTTGCTGATCCATTACACTGGTGAGAAAACTATAATCAGTTGCACTTGAAGTGAATAATTTGTGCTTAGCATCCCTAAATCTTCAAGAAATGTACTCTGCTTATTCTAACGCCAGTAGATGGGAAAATCCCTACCATTCTTCACAGAACTTTCCCATTGCTCCCAAAATGCACATTTTCTACATAAAATCTGACTTTACCTTTGAGCTCTTATTTTTTGTAATACCTGTTTTTGCATCTTGGTATTCCTCATCAGACTCAGGGTTAGATGCACTCCCTATAAACACACTAAAATGATATTATTTGCACTCTGCCTGCTCTGTATCACCTTTTCCTGGACTAAATTCTATTGAGTCTCTAATTCTCCAACTGGACATTTTCTCCAGCTTTTAATAACTAGAGAGGGATTTCTACACAGACAGTGATAGGATAAGGGGGACTGGTTTTAAACTAAGAGAGGGGGCAGTTAGATTAGATGCTATGAGGAAATTCTTTACACTACGAAGGGTGGTGAGGCACTGGAATAGGTTGCCCAGAAAAGCTGTGGATGCCCCAAACCTGGAAGTGTTCAAGGCCAGGATGAGAAACCTGGCCTTGTGAAAGGTGTCCCTGCCCATGGCAGGGTTTGGAAAGAGATAATGTTGAAAGTTCCTTCCAAGAAAAACCATAGTATAATGCTCTGAATTTGCATGAGCCTTTCTTTCACAATTCTTTTTTTTTTTTTTTTTTTTTTTTTTTTAACTGCTGTTGTTTGCTCCCTGCCTGCAGTGCCTTCAGGGCCGTGCTGAGCCACTGGTACCCCTGCACCTGCTCGGCCATGCCACACTGACCACACCAAGCACGCCAGAGCCCAGTGCCCCAGCAATGCCCTTCCGAGCCATTAACAAGCCCCATTGTGGGAAGACAGAAGGGATGTCTGGTGTGTTTTCATTTTGCGTGACTCTGGACTTCTCTGGGCAAACAAGAACGGAAATAAAGTCACGATGTTTTAATCCAGCTTTATTGTGATTTTTGTATGCTTTTTTTTTCCCCCTGGTTAATTGCCTCTTGCGATTTATTGCAAACACTAAATAAAAAAAAAAAAACAAACCAAAAACAAAAACAAAAACGAAGCCAAAATCAAAATAATAAAAAAAAAAAATACCCCCAGACACCAAAACCACGAACAAAGGTGCTGCAAAGTGCTCTGTCCCACGCCGAGGGCACCGCCCAGCGTCCCAGGAACGTGAAACCGTCCTTCGTGAGGAAATTTGGCCCCTCCCGCTGTCCGTCCGAACCGCTGTTTCCCGTTGCCGTGGTGACGCTCTGAGTGTAGACGAGCGGCGCGGGGCTCTCGTGCTCCCCACGGAGCTCCCGACCGTCCGCTGTTGGCGAATGCGGAATTTCAAGGCGGAAGGGCGGCCGACCTCCAGAGACGGCCAGAAAGGCGGAGGCTCCGTGAGGRGCTTGACTGAACGACAGGTCAGTGGGTACATGAGGTAGACCGGGGGGAGCCGGACGACTGCGGGTTCTTTGAGCGATGGACTACAGCTCCCAGTATGCAAAGGGGCGGTGCCACGGGCCTGTCAGAAAGCGGACTGCCTCCGGCCGCGATGCCTTTCGGGAGTTGTAGTTTTCCTTCAGCTGAGAGCTGCTCGTCGCTCCCCCGGCTGACATGCGCTCAGTGTGCCCGGGCTCCCCCTGCAGGAGACGGCGAGAAGCTGCTCGCTCCCTTCTCATTGAAGGGGGCAACGCATTGCGAAAGGAGGGAGGGGAAAGGTTGACAAGGTACAAGTTTTCCCCCTCCCTGAATCCGTCCACAAATTTTTTACTTCTCTGGTTTCACCATTTCTCGATGCTTTCTCTGTATCGTTAAAACTTCATCGAGTGCTGATTCTTAGTCTTATGTTGTAACTGTTAATACTTAGTTACTGTGTGTCCCCCCCCCCCCCCCACCTTTGTAGCTATTAGGGCTGGAAAAAATTCTTTGTGAAAGAGTAGAGTGCTGGTGGAGGTTTTAAATGTTTAAACTTGGTAACATGCAAAATTTTAACGAGTATTCTAAGGAGGATTCTCTTATCACAATGTTTTGAATGTTTTTCTTATTTTTTGCTTGTGGAATAAGGTTTTCATGTTTTAAGGCAACTGTTCAATAAATACATCTGAATGAACTTAGGCTAAATGAGTACTTTTAATTTTGGTTTGTGCTGTGTTGAAGGGTTTTTGATTTCTTTTTTTTTTTTTT